GTGTATACTTGCCTTTTAGTTTCGCGACTTTTGTGGCATACTACCGAAGTCGACAACAAAGGTGTATGACACAAAATGAGCATAATGAAGAGCAAGGATACTGTACGCTGAAAGAAGCATTTGCTCTAGCAAGCCCATTGCTCATGATGGGGCTCAGAAGCAGACCCGCTCAAAGGCGGAGCTTCGACTGGAGAAGGACATCATATCCTCCTCACATTACCTGCCAAAATTCAGGGATGATACCATCATATCGATGGATTAGTAGATGATGGAGACAACAGACGTCATTGACGGTGCATCGAGGAAAGATGGTGTCTTATCGCAGCTTATCAGCACGTGCACCGCGTGGTTTTCGCATTACTCGCCCCAACCTTCCGTCACGTCCTAACATGGGACGCAACGCGTCTCAACGACACCAATGGACGCTTTGCTAGAGGGTCTGAACGATGCGCAACGAAGTGCGGTAACCAGTCCCGCCAATGTCGTCCAGGTTCTTGCGCCACCGGGATCTGGAAAGACCAAAACACTCACGGCACGCGTCGCGTATCACGTCAACCATGAGCGCCTGCAGCCATGGAATATCATCGTCTGCACCTTTACCATCAAGGCGGCGCGAGAGATGAAAGAGAGGATCAAAGGTTTTGTTGGCGAAAAACTCGAGGCCAAACTCATTCTGGGGACTTTCCACTCAGTTGCGCGTCGCTTTCTTTCCCGGTATGGGCAAGAAATCGGAATTGACAAGAACTTCGGCATTGCGGATTCCAGCGATAGCAAAGCGATTCTCAAGCGCATTGTCTCGCGTTACGAGTATACGGTCGAGCCTGGCCATGCTCTCTCACGGATATCGAAGCTGAAAGCGAAGGGCGTATCTGATGACGCTTTTCGGGCAACTTCGAAGAGTGTCAATGACAACGAGTTTGCCATGGTGTACTCATCATACCAGGAGCATCTCAAAGCATCTAACTTGCTGGACTATGATGATCTTCTTGTGCGATGCGTCGAGTTGCTCCAGCGACACCCATCCTGCGTTTCAACGATCCAAGCCGTACTCATCGACGAGTACCAGGACACCAACAATATTCAGTACGAGCTGATGAAGCTTCTCGCCCAGAGTACAAGACGTATTACGATCGTGGGCGACCCCGACCAAAGTATCTACAGCTTCCGCTCTGCGGAGATCAAGAACTTGCTTCGCATGCGTGACGAGTTTCCCGAGTCAATCATTATCAACCTCGAAAACAACTACCGCTCCTCAGGGTGTATCCTCAATTCAGCACTTGCGGTCATTGAACAGGACGAGAGCCGCCCACAGAAGGCGTTGATTGCGACGCACGGCATCGGCGAACCACCTACGCTCCGCCATCTCGTGTCGGCCCATGTCGAGGCGAAGTGGATAGTCGAGGAGATTCAACGGACGAAGACGCTCGCGGCTGGTCTGTTGGCGTATAATGACTATGCTATCTTGCTGCGATCCAGTCAGCTTTCTCTCCAGCTTGAAAGAGCCCTTGGGCAAGCTGGTGTTCCCTATCGAATGGTAGCTGGCACAAAGTTTTTCGAACGTGCAGAGATCAAGATCCTGTTGGATTATCTGCGTGTCATCAGCCAGCCGGAACACAACGATGCCGTCGCCCGTGTGATCAACACGCCTTCACGTAAGGTCGGCGACGTCACAGTGAAAGCGTTACTAGAAGAGGCAGAAGTCAAGAAAGTGACATTGTGGAAGTTGGTCCTCGACGCTGCACAAGGCCGCAGAAGGCCGGACTGTAAGGTCTCTGCGCAAGCAATGAACGGCATTGACCAGTTTGTGAACGTCATTCTCACCTCCCGCGAAAAGCTGCTGCCGACCGAGGGCGAGCATTGCAATTTGTACGGACTCATTGATCACGTCCTTAAAAAGATCTCTTTCGAAACGTATCTTAAACAGACACACAAAGACAATTGGCAAGACCGATGGGCCAATGTGGAGGAGCTAGTGGCGCAAGCGACGCAAATGGCCACGGCTATGGCGAGTGGAGAAGAGATTACCGACGATGCTTTACCCGTGGTGGATGGCATTGAACAGCGGCAAGATACAGCTGCTGACATACTATCAAAGTTCCTAGCGAATGTGACGCTATCCAGCATCACGGATCAAGATGGTGGAGAGGCTGAGCAGGTCACAATTTCGACGATCCATGCCGCAAAAGGACTGGAATGGCCCGTTGTCTTCATGCCAGCTATCTACGACGGATCAATCCCCCATTCGCGCGCAGACGACCATGACGAGGAGAGACGTTTGCTGTATGTTGGAATGACGCGAGCACAGGGTTTCCTATACCTTAGCTGCCCGGTCAAGCAATCAGGGCAAGAGACGACTACGTTGTCGAGGTTCATCTCCGACCGGAGCATACAGAAGCACTTCAGCGAGCGCGGGCCGGATCTTGCTTTCAAATGCAGCACGATTCCGGATCTAGCACGTATTCTGCGTCGGCCTTGCCCACCAGTGGAAGACATCAATGCTGCTCGTGGGGCAGTCGAGCGACCGGAAGACGACCGATACCCTGCTACAAGAGAGGAGATTGACGGCGATGATCCGACATGGGGCGCATCATGGGACGACAAGTTCAACCACTCCGGTCCAAGCAGCGATGGGAAGCCGAACTTCAAGCGTCGGAAACTCGAGGATTCGAACTCATACGCCAAAGAATCAGTCGCAGTGACTTTGAACAGAACTTCAGGCTTCTCCGTGGCTTCCACCACAATGCACGCCGCTGCGACTGGCTTCACAAGCGCTCGCGACCTGGGAGACCTACAAGCCATGCAGCGAGAGGCAGAGCGCATCCGTATGCTTGCTACCGCCCAGGACGCAGAGACAGGACGCACGGCCTACAAAGTCGACAAGAAAGCAGAAGCAAAGCCCGTGCAAGCAAAGAAAGTCAAACCACGACCAAAAGGTCAAGGCGCTATCACAGGGTTCTTCACAAAGAGATCTGCAAGCACACCAGAGGAGGAAACATCACAAGCTGCTCCCCTACCAGTTCCCTCACTACAGCGTTCACATTCCTCACTATCGACCAGCACACCACTCCACGATATCTCCAACGTCCGCCCGCCATCACGACCCATCGCACTCCCGAACTTCTCGCTCAAAAACCGCCCCATGCCCACAAAGCCCAAGCGCATAGACCCGCCGCCCGATATGGAGAGCACGAGATACGTGCTGCTGTCTAGCTCGCCCGTGAAGCCGGATCACGATGAGGGTGTACAGGAGCCGGAGAGTCCGGTGAAGCAAACGTCGGCGGCGTCTGGCTTCAGAGCGGCGTCGACGTTTCATACTACGTCGATGAGTCAGGTGCAGAGTCAGGCGGCGCAGAGGAAGACGTTGGGTACAAGGAGGACGATGCAAGGGTGGAGCGTGAAGCATAGTAGTATGCCGAAGCCGAAGGGGTCGTGATGTGTGGTGAAGAATTGGGTTGGATTGCATTTGGCGGCGTTACATTGCGCTGCAGAATTTCGCATTGTTTTAATTACAGGTATCGAATGGTGTTACTTGAAACGATCTCAGATATAGGTACAAGAAGTAGATGATGGTACAACTTTCCACCTATTTATACACGCCTTGCATATCGCACGTGTCCAAAATGTCGAACATGATACGCGGGCACCCAAATACTGACACAAGAAATGTACTGATACAATTCTCCAAACTCCCCCATCCAGACCTCCAACCCTCATTCCCCATGTAAACTCCTCTCCTCCAACGCCCCAACCGCCCCCACCAACTCCCTCACCCGTCCCCCAACCCTCCTCCTCACCTCCTCCCCCACTCCGTCCCCCTCCTGCCCAGCATCTTCAAAATACTGCACCAATTTATCCAATTCCTTGCGCGCCGCAGCGCGATCGTCCGCCGCATATGTACTATTCTTCTCGCTCTCCTCGCTCGCGATTTCGAATTCGTCTTTGGCGGTGCCGTATAGGTCGGTTATGGTGTCCATGAGGGTGGTGACGCGGGCTTGGGCGTCGGGGGAGAGGGGTGGGGAAGAGGGAGTAGAGGTAGGGGTGGCGGGCCATTGTATCTTTGGGGTGGATGTGAATGTGCGTATTGAGCTGAGTGTGTAGGGTGTGCTGAAGTGCGTCCATTGGCTTGTTGGTGCGAGGAGGGTTGTGTTTCGCGCTTCGTAGCGGGGCGGGGGGGACGGCGAGCGTGTGCGCGCGGGAGATTGTTGGGTGTGAAAGTGTTGCGATACAGGGTAGGAAGTGCGTTGGAGTGTGGTTGTGCTTGCGCGCAGGGTGGTTTGGCGGATGAGGGTGCGGAGATGGTGCGTGCCCGTCGGCATTTTTGGGGAGCTGGGGCGCGTATGGTAGGGTGCGGTATTGTATGTTTGTGTGATTGAGCGGCGCGTAAGAGTGCGGAGGGCGGGGGCTTTTGTGAGGAGTGTGTGAGACATTGCGGAGGTGGTGTTGGTGGTGATGGAATGCTGGTGAGATTGGGGCCTGAGGTTATTTCTGGGGCTGAAGCTGGGGTTCGGGGTTTACGGAGGGGGCGGTGCAGAGTGGCAGTAAAGCACGGTTTGGGTATTGGGTCCAGATAGTTCAGCAATATGCTAGATTCATACAAAATGATGAAATTACTGGCATTGTATTCGACTTCACATTGTCCAAGTTTTTGTGGTTTCTAATAAACCTGAATATGCTCATGTAACTCCAGGCGCATTTGCTTCCAACGTCCCAACGTCTACAAGCAACAAAAGAAGTCAGGGGCCAAATTCCTGATCAAAAACAAAGAAAATACTGTCTGTAAAGATTTGTCTACATGACTATGCTGGGCTTATTTCTTACTCTCCGTTACCTCAAGGCTCCATCTTCTTGAGCCGAGCCATGCCGAGCCACGTCTCAACCATGCTGCTACCCACAGCCCCGCACCCACAATCTCTCAGAAGCTAGCTTATCCGCTTCTTCCACAGCTCAAAAATTGTGCTATATAATTTATGCAATCTTTCAAACCTATAATAAACACCCAAGCGAGCGTAGTCTAGTGGTTATGATGTCTGCTTTACACTCTAAGTAGAGCGCAGAAGGTCCCGCGTTCGACCCGCGGCGTTCGTAGTATCAACGTTGCATCAATCTTTTTGCCATTTTAGATAGCACATGGGATGCATGGAGAAGATTTTATAACGATGGGGCGATTTGGTGATTTTTGTGGTGAGGGATTTTTGGACATGGCGCGTGAGTGTACAGGCATGCTTTTTTTGTGTATCGTATGTACAGCCTCCTAGAACATGCTCGGATTCTCAGTTGTATGCGAACAGCTAAGGTACTACCTCAAATGACAGAAATAGCAGGCAAATAAATTTAGAAGCTCGTGATGACAGTGTGGGTCGCGTCATTCTGAGGGCAATACAGTACTAACGATGCGAGCTACATTTTGTTGGGTATGGGCAGGTGGAGAAGTATACTCGAGGGTATCATGACATGCTATTGTAAAGACACATGTGCTATTCACCCAACACTGGTACGTTGACAAAAGTCTCCAATAATGTGACCAATTCCAATGACGCTTCTTTCCTCGAAGCAATGCTCCCAAACGCCTCGCTATGGATACAAACAACAAGGGATATCATCTAACATACTCGCGCTATATGAAATGGCCTACAATCCACCAGACCCCAGCAATCAATCTGCGCTGCTGTTCACCACCACCGCCTCGAATTACGCCCATTCGTAGCGCACTGCAGACAATGCCGGCGCGTCGACACTACTGCGCAGGTACCGCATACATTCTTCCCGCAATCGCTACATGCAAAAATATTACTCTCAACGGCGCCACTCATATCGACGTCCATGTCGACATCCATGCTGTCGTTTACGCTCTGGAGTGACGCGTCGCAGTCTTCGCAGCGGGGAGATTGCGCATCGAATCGCTGTGGCGGCGGCAGAGCGGAAAAAATGGACGGCTGAACGGGAGGAGTAGGAAGCTGTTTCCAGAAGGAGTGGAGGGTTGATTTTTGGGGCTTCGCGATTGCTTGAGTTGGTTGTTGAACTGGCGTGACATCGGATGGTAGGGCCGAAGCTTCTACGTGGTTTCGCTGAGCGGCGAAGAGTTTGTGCAAAGTATTCTCTGCATCGCATTAATACCCAAACCCTATTGAAGACGGAGCATTTGGACATACCATGTATCGCACGCTCATCCGGCCGATTGTCGCGCACCCGCTTGCTCGTGCGATTGCCCCAGTCGCCGCCCTTGACCCTGCTCGCGCTCGCAAAGTCCCAGCCATTGTGTCGCGCTGTCGCATCGACGTCCATGTCCGTGGATGGGTGTGTGAATGGGGAGGGTGAGTGTGCGTCGGATGATGAGATGGAGCCCCAGCTGGAGACGGAGAGGGGCGAGTCGTCGTCGGAACGCTTGCGCTTGGAAGTCATGGTTTGGTTGGTATGGTAGATGGAGCGGGAAGTGTGGGGAGTGCGATGCGGATTGTGTGGAATTGTGTTTGGTGGGTGGTGGGTAATGTGAAGGAGGATTGGGGGAGTTGAGATGGAAGTGCGTAATGGTGCAGATGGCTGGTGCGGCGCGTCGCGTGTCGCTTCATTCTCGCGAGCGTGCCGAGGGGCTTGGGCGTGGAAGTCGCGACCACTTCCACACCGAGACGATCAACCTGTCTTTACAACTGTATCAAGCAATATACCACATCGCAAACCTACTGGAGGTGTTCATAAATTCTTACACTGTCATTTGAGCGCATTCGTGTGTTCGCGGCCAATGTCTCATGAGAGATGCCAACTTCGGGACTGCTCACAGATAGTGCACCAATTCATATACTCTTTACCTAAACTAAGTTTTCCTACAAATTGGCGCTATGTCTGCTTCCATATATGTTTGACACTTTTTCTACCTCGACGGTGATAAGCACATGAACCAACGTCGGTCGCACGACACCACCTGCATAACTTCCGCCCCACCACCACAGCTACAGCTACCCCGCGAGCTTCCATACCATCACACAAACAACACCCTCAACCGCCAAAATGGTCACCCGCAGGCCTTCCCACGCCGGCTCATGGTATACAGACAACGGCCAGCAACTCTCACGGCAGCTGGACAGCTGGCTTGAGGCTGTCTCGAGCTCGACGACCCCGATCGGCTCAACATCCTCACAGCAGGGAGCAGTCTCGATACCGACGCCAAACGCGCGAGCTATCATTGCACCGTGAGCTCTACAGGAGATGTGTGGAGAGGAACTAAGGCTCATGGACACGCAGGCATGCTGGATACTCGTACTCCGGGCCTGCTGCTGCATGGGCCTACAAGAGCGCCGACTGGGCGAATGCGTATATCAACCTCCCATACCTCCAAGATGCAGGATACTAATCTGGAATATAGGAAGCGCGTCTTCCTCCTCGGCCCATCGCACCACCACTACCTCACCGGCGCCGCAACCACCAAATGCGACAAATACGCCACACCCCTCGGCGACCTAATCGTCGACACCGCACTCGTGCACCAGATACAAGAACAATGGGGCCTCGAGACCATGTCCCGCAGCGTCGACGAAGAAGAACATAGCTTGGAAATGCACCTGCCCTACATCTATAAGATGCTCTCACTGTACGTCCTGATGTCCCACCACAACTGTCTCAAGCTCACATCGCAGCAGCAAAAACCCCTCCTTCCAATCCTCCCCCGCATCCGTGCCCCTCATCCCCATAATGATCGGCAACACCTCCACCGCCACCGAAACCTCTCTAGGCTCCCACATCGCGCCCTTCCTCTCCGACCCATCCAACATCTTCGTCATCAGCTCAGACTTCTGCCACTGGGGCTCGCGCTTCAGGTACACATACTACGCCTCCCCCTCAGGCACCTCCACCCACCTGCGGTCCAGCTCTAAAGTCGCTGCAGACTGGCCCATACACGAGAGCATCAAGGCGGTGGACTTTGAAAGTATGGATGCGGTGGAGAGTGGGAGGCATGAGGCGTTTGTGGAGCAGCTCAAGGAGAGTGGGAATACGGTGTGTGGGAGGCATCCGATTGGGGTGTTCATGGCGGCGGTGGAGAGGGCGGGGTTGGGTGGGGAGAAGGGACGGATGAGGTTTGTGAGGTATGAGAGGAGTGGGGAGGTGGTGGGGGTGGGGGAGAGTAGTGTTAGTTATGCGAGTGCGTTTGCTGTGTTGTAAGGGGAAGGGCATCTTGACAAAGATAGAACAGCAAAATATAATTTATGGATTCATTCCACTCCATATATACCGCTACGTCACTGTCAAAGCATTCATCTCCCGGATCCTACGCTCCAACACGTCCCACACATCGAAAGGAATGTCCGGCTCCATCTGCGCCAACACAAGCTCCTCGTGCACAAACGGAGCGCCGCACGCAGCAAAGCAAGCCGCGCGTTCAACCACGCTAAGAACGAAACAGCAGCCCACAGCGCCCCGACAGAAAGGAGAATGATAACAAAAAACATGACCACCACGACCCGCATGTTATGACGGCGCGTGGCATCTCGGTCAGCAGCGCAGTTTGCCTAGAACCGCGTGCCTGAATGCTCTGCTTGCCCGCCATGCAACAACACATCCAGTTCATCCCGATACCGATTCAAGCTGCCCACACCAGCGCGCGGCCTGATAGGCAACTCCACAGCCTTCATATCCTTCTCTTCCATCTCGTCCTTGAGGATCTTAACTTGTTTCTGCATCTCGACCCACAGTTCCAATTTATCCAGATCGTCAGCATCGTCGCGATGCATCCTATCGCGACGCGCCTGTTTATCGACGTTCGTCATGGGGTCTTCAGGGCCTGCAAAGCGCTGCGCATCGAGTGCGAAGGTGTCGGGGTTTTTACCGCCGCGGACGGCGATGGCGAGGAGTGTTGCTACGAAAGCTTCTTGCATGTACGCAAAGGAGAATTTATCCGTAATCTCCGCAATCTTTGCACACAGCACATCCGGAAAGTCAATGTTCTTGTTATCGCTCAACTTGCCCTGCCAGAACTGCGCATACTGCACGCGCTGGTCGAAGTCCGGGTTGGAGAAGAAGTACTTGCGATCGAAGCGGGAGGGGCGCTTCGCAATGCCCGGGTCCAGGCGGTCGAGGTGGTTCGTGGATCCGACCATCAGGATGCCGTCATTCGATGTCAGCCCGTCGACTTCGTTGAGGAAGTAGGAGCGCACGTTGTCGCTGACGATGGAGTCGAGGTCTTCGAAGACGAGGTAGCAGGGCGCTTCTTGGCGGGCTTTGCTGAAGATTTGGCGGAGCGAGTACTCTGGCCCGCCGTAGGAGGCGAGGGTGCGGACGTAGAGCGTGGGCACGGTGAGGCGGTCGTCGTCCTTTTCAGCGCCGCGCTTGTAGAGCATGTGCATCATTGCTTTGATGCTGATTGTCTTGCCGTTGCCCGGGGGGCCGTAGTAGATGACGCCGCGCTTCCAGGGGACTTTGAGGTCTGTGTATGTCTTCTGGCCGTCGAAGAAGTTCTCGACGTCGGAGATGAGGGCTTTCTTCATGTCTTCGTCGAGGATGACGCTGTCCCAGTCCGACTTCTGGACCGAGTTGTACAGCTCCGCGCTCTTCTGCCAGTAGCCTTGGTCAAAGACCCATACCTCGTTGTGCAGCTGCTGGTTCCATGTCGATGCCAGCTTGAGCAGCTCGTCGACCTTGTGCTCGTTGGTGGTGAGGATGTACTGGTTCGTGAGGTCCGGGTAAGATGAGACGCCATCTCGGCCGTTCGCAATGTACAGGATGACCTCCTGGTCCTTCCACTTGTACATGAACTTGCCGAAGATGATTTGCTCGACAAACACGCCGGGGCGGCTGTCGAGCCTCCGGTTTGGTGGGATATAGCTGCGCTGCTTCAAGCTCACGCCATACACGGGGTCTCTGACGGAATCTTCGAGTGGGGTGGCTTTGGCATAGCCGGCCGATGCATATGCGAGGAGGTTCGTGAAGTTCTGGGGGACTACGACAAGCTCGAGGTGGGGATACTGCTTGCGGATAGCTTCAACGAGTACAATGTCGGTGTTGACGCGCTGGGCAGAGGAGTGGTGGAAGTACTCGCGGCTCGTCTGGTCCTCCGAAGAGTGGACCTGGAAGCTGTTACCTGTCATGATGGTGGTAAG